TGGAGCCCATTTCTAACTTCCATCCAAAGGGATGCTTTCGGCAATTAAGCTGTAAACAATTAAGCTGTAAAACGAGGCCGTTCAGAGTCTGGCTTCAGCCTGAACGCCTGGCCAGGCCCTCTGCCCTCCGCCTTGTCTGTACACGGGGGTGTCTGCAGTGTTTCCTCCTGGCTTCACTTTACCTGTAGCTTGTCAAGCAGCCCCTGGGTCCCGCACTTCCTCCTGCCTGGGAACCTCGCAAGCCCCCCTCCCTGACAAGAGTGTCTGCCCCCTCATCCTCAGATGAGGCCCCACGAGCCGGGGGTTGCCCGCTGCCTGGGGCCTGTGCTATAGGGTGAGTGATGACGGAGCTGGGCCATTGCCGGCTGAGGACCAGGGGAGGGGTGATTAGCAGCAGCTTAAGAAGCCAGACTCAGGTTTTGGTGAATTAAGAGAGAATGGGGCAATTTGGCTGGTAAACCAAATGTTTCAGTTGTAAGGTCTCAACCTTTATTTGCTTCCCCTGCCAGACAGACTGTTTCTTTCTTTAAAAGGCTAACAAGTTAAACATCTTTCAGGCCCTGTTTTACTGCCTAATGATCCCCTGAGTTATTTATACATAATGGTCTTAAGAGGTGGGGGTGGGGGTGGGGGTGGGGGTGGGGAAGGGGGCAGGTTGGTAAGGAAAGGAGTGTCACACATCTTGCATTTTTTAAAGAATTCATTTTATTTTTGGCTGTGCCGGGTCTACAGTTGCGGCAAGCAGGGGCTCCTCTCTAGTTGCGGGGCTCAGACTTCTCTCGCGGGGGCTCCTCTGGGTGTGGAGCACAGGCTCTAGGCCCCGGGGGCTCAGGAGTTTCGCACACAGGCCTAGTTGCCCCGCAGCCTGTGGGTCTTCCTTGATCCGGGGTTGGACCCGTGTCCCTGCATTGGCAGGCGTATTCTCAACCGCTGGACCACCAGGGAAGCCCACACCTTGCCTTTCTTGGTTGCTCTCTTTGGCTCATCAGGAAGAAAACCATCATGTTTTACACCTTCACGAGACAGACTCTAAATCATCCTCTGCGTTCTGTTCTGCAAGACAACAGTAGCACCGGGATGAGAGGTGAGGGAGGCACAGGGCTCGCCCTCCTCACATGATGCCTGTCCTCCTCTTTACGCGTCCAGCCCTGTGCTCTGGGTTAGTGATGCTGGGCGTGGATCTCTAGGCCTTTCTCAGGCCAGACAAGGAACTTCATTTAAGAGTAGAAGCCAGGTTCTTCAGTAAGCCAGCTAAGGATCTCCTATGGAGCCCTAGACAATTCAGCATTTTTTTCTCTTGGGATGTGAATGTACAAAAAGTCACATGATTAACTTTTTCTCTTTTAGTGTTGAAAAATGAGCTGTGATGCCAGTCAGTCAACTGGTAGGAGTCATTAAAAAAAAAAAAAACACACATTGGTCTGGGGAACTGGAGGACCTTCTGTAGTGAAGACTCCGGAAGGCAGTGCTGGGCCCCGTCCTCAGCGAGCCCGCTGCCCCGTAACCAGCACAGAAGAGGCCGAGGCAGCCTGCTTCCCGCTTCCTCTCCTGTAAGTGAACGAGCTGCTGGAAACCCGGCAGGAGCAGGCAGGCGGCGGGGGCGGGGGAGCGCAGCGCCTACACAGCCAGCTTGAAGGTACAGCGCGCGCGCACACACACACACACACGGCACTTCTGGGGCACGCGGCCTGAGCTGCTGCTGTAAACTGGCGATTGCATCAAGTTCTTTTGCACGGCAGCTGCTTCCCTGGACAGCTTCCTTTCTGTGCTCATCTTACGTGAGGGATCACAGGGTAGGGAGTGGAGGCAGATGGCACCAACGAGGCTTGCCCCAGGAGGTGAGGAAGTGACGTGGGGCAGCGAGCACCCTGTGACCTACGCCATGTCTAAGTCAGCCCCCAGGGCAGCCTAACCCACGGGGCGAGGCCTGGGGAGGCCAGGCAGGGCCCACTGGAGGAACGCAGGAGGGACGGTGTGGAAGGACCAGGCCCCCTGGTCTTGCAGACACAGGCAGCTACCTCGTCCCGCTTGGTGGGAGGGGAGAGGGCGAGGGGCGAGGCCGTCCAAGAGGACGCTGGCCCAGGAGACAGCTCCTCCCTGGGCTGGCATGTGACACGTGGCACAGAGCCAGATCACTAACCTCAGCCTGCAGCCTCTTTCTGGGGGAGTGTGACGGCCAATTCGGCCTCACTGGGTGGGCGTGGCCGGCCAGCAGGGGGCTTGGCTGATGGAAGCAAGTGCCCGGGTGGTAGCTGCAGTTTGGCTGGAAGGTGGTGGGGCCTCTTGCTGGATCCCAGTTCAGGACTGGACGCAGGACGAGGCCACAGAGGTGTCAGCACACGTGGTGTTCTTTCACTCCTACTATGCTGAGACTTCTCAGCTCACCAAATCTCTGCAGAGTAGGTATAACTGTCCCCGTTTTGCGGCCTGGAACAAGGAGGCTCCAGTTAGATCACCTGTCCAAGGATGGAGGTGCTACTCATCTCACAGGTGAGTGTCCCAGCAGAGGCACGTGACCAGAGCAGAGGAATATTTTTGTTACGGAGAGTGGCAGTAGTAATATGTAGGAGCAACACTGTGTCGGGGGAGAAGCAGGTATTAAAAGTAACTTAGGGTTACCAAGTAAAGGTAAAGAAGTTATCAGGTTACCGGGTAAACCAGGAAAGGCAGGCGTGATAAAAATGATGACAGCAGATAGGGCTTCCCAGAATATAAAGCACTCCACTTACGATACAACAAACTGATTTTATTCGCAATAGCTGACAATTTTTACATATACAGAAAAACACTCTCTCTGCAGTAAAGGCAGGATTAATCTCAAGTGGGCAACAGGGATACCCCCCCCCCCGTTTCCCCGGCCACGCAAGTTAAGAGCAGGGCGGTCAGGTGCTGTGGAACACGGGCGGGGGACGGGACCTGCCTTGGAGTCTAGGACGGGGGAGCCTGGGTGTCACTGTGACCTCAGCTGCAGCGGGGAGGGGAGGCGGATTCTCAGGCTGCGTTTCCTTGGGGAATTCATGCAGCCACTCTGGAAGCAGAAATCTAAGTGCTACTGCTCACCCTGGGAAGTTCCCACCAACACGCTGGTTTCTTCACGGTAGTGACAAAAATGATCTCGACAGGTACCAAGTCCAGAAAGGCTCCTCCTGAAACGTGTCCCAGCCCCAAACGCTTTAGCACGGACTCCCGGTCGTCTTCATCCCCCCGACGCAGGAGCCCGAGGCGTCCTGCTGGCCCAGGGCGGGGGTCAGCAGGCTTTCCGTGGAGGGCTGGAGCGGAACCACGTTCAGCTCTGCAGGCTCTGCTGTGATGGCTCAGCTCTGCCGCTGCAGCCGCAGCCAGCACCTGACCAACAACCCAGGCTGGGTCCCTGAGACCTCACGTACGGATAGGCCCACGCTGGCTCAGGCCTGTGGGCTCTCGTGGTCTGCTGACCCTGCTGGGGCAGGAGAGGACCCTCGCAGAGGTCGTTCCCACCCACCTCTGCACCGAGCGGCTCTGACCGAGTGAGGCAGAGGGGGGCTGCTGGAGGGCCCCCTCCCCGTGCGTCTCTTCTGTGGCGTTTACAAAGGCCACAGAGCCCTTCCCAAAGCGGCTTCCAGTAACATTCTCAGTCACACTAAACTAGCTACCTCTATTTTACTTCTACCTCTACCATACTCTTCCTCAACTGTGAATTCTTCCTCGTGGAGAATTCCAGTACACCTTCTTCCTAACCAGGAAAATCTGATGCAGAATTAAATTACTCCCACTGGGGACAGTTAAGAGAGGGCGGGGAGGCAGGGGACTGAAGAACAGAAAAGGGAGATAAAGCCAGCATCGACTTCTGGGAAGAGAAGTGCAAATGCGTAAGAGCTGGCTTTACGACAGCACGCCTGCTTCCTTGCAGTTCTGGAGGAGTGGGGGCAGAAGGGTCTGAACACGTGTTCTGGCCTGAGGATCACAAGCAAAGCAAATACACAGACTCACTGGTCCATCAATAGCAGCACATCTGAGACATAATCAACCCTTGATACTGGAAAAGGATTGGAAAACCTTATCCATTTGTGTGATCTACATTAGATTTCTACGAAGCCTTCATTGGTATATCCAAGTTATCGTCTGGGGTCCAAAGCAGAAGTCGTAGAACGGGAACGACACTGAGTACTCTGACCAGGGAAGCAACCCCGAAGCCCACCCTCCTTGCACAGCCCTAACACAGTGGGAGGAATGTGCGAACATTTCATTCAGCTTCCTGGGGGGTGTAAGGGTGGGATTCTGAAACGCTTCCAGGAAGACATGAGAAGCAGAAACCACTTGCCCACTGCTACACTCACTGCAGATGCGGAAAAGGTGATTTAACATTCTGTGTAATGTGCTGTTTTAATCAGCTTAAAAAAAAAAAAAAACCACCTGCCAAGGATTTTTCAGAGGCTCACCTGCAACTCTGAACCCACTCTCTGCTGGTTCCTCACAGCTGCCGAGAGCTGGGCAAGGACCCAGAGGAGCCCACCCACCCCCAAGGGGGAAGGGTCTGATGTGAGCCGACTTCAAGCCACTTCAGATGCTCTTCTGAACCAGTATCCAGCAGAAATGAACAGCACGATGCCAAGATACAGACAACAGTTTTGGGGAGAAATGATTTAGAATTGGGATTATCTTTACCAGGAATTAGGAAACAGCTATTTAAAATGTTTAATGATGAACTCCTGTCATCTCCCTGTCTCCTTGAATAACATCCGCCTTTATGATTAAACAACCTCAAGTTTTTCTCCAAAACTTTCAGTCACTTTTGAGAACAAGCCAAAAGAAATATCCAGAGAGAACCAGAGCTGTTCACATTAGAAAAAAAAAAAAAACAAAAAACACCTGGCTTCCTCCAGAATGGTTAGATTCCAGTAATTTTATTCTTTCCGCTCCCTCTCCCTGCCCCCAGGACAGTTTTCCGCTCTTTAAACGCGCTCTGCAGTGTCTCCACCGTCCTCGACTCGGAGCGCCAGCTTCCCCACGTGGCGTCTGGGTCAGCGCTGCTTACGCCAGCGCTGCAGCTCTTGGGATAAACAGAGACAAACATAAGGGTCTACGATGCTGTTCCCTGACGGCTTCTACCTCTTGCCCCTCAAGATCATCCCCTTGTATTTGTTTTATAAATTTAGAAGTAAAGTCTTAGGTACAGGGGTAAGTTTCCGCCTCACTTTCCTCACTCTCAATTTAAAGATGTGAAGCAGAAACTCCAGCATCACCTGAACAGTCTCTTTTTCAGGGGAGGCTTTTTCCCTGTGAAAGAAACGACCTGGGATTTTAGGCACCGTGATCAGAAAGGAATTCCTTTCTCACGGATGGCCACACATGTGAGATGAGGGTGGGCAGTCATGGCTGGCCAGTCGGGATGTGAGTGCCTACCACAGATGTGATCCACGTCGTGACTCATGCCCTGAGTCTTCGCACTGCATTAGTCGCCAAGCCCAGCTAGAGTCAGACCCGACATTCCTGAAGCTTGTGAGTTCTACTGGCCTCTAGTGTTAATAACGACCTTACACTTTTCCACTGAAAGTTTTCATCTGAAAGCATTTGGATTTTGTCTGTTGTGGAAGAATACTGGGACTTTTTTGATTTCTTTAATACAATAATACTTTTTAAAAATGAGCAAACTATCTGGCATTAAAAGAGCAGTGAAATCTAGGCATTTTCCTTCTGGTAAGATTTGGAGCAAGTTGAAATGCATAACTAGAAGAAGGTGGTTTTTCTTTTTAATGTTACAAGTAGATTAAATAAAACAGCTCTCAGCCTTAGACACACGGTAAGTGACAGTTTGTTTCTCATCTCTTAGGGTATAAAGCTATTTGGTTTCTATCCTAAAAAGAAGTCCTGAGGAATCAGTCATCAAAGAGCCCTGATCCTCCAACAGGCAAACAGCTTTAAGCAGAAAACACAAACGCACCCAACCTCCAGGGGCCATCTTCAACGGAGCGTGACAGCAGTTATGCAAACTCTAGTCAAATCTTACCAAGGCCATTAGAACCAAAACCTCCAATAAAAAAAAACCGAGGGCCTTGGGCAATAGCTTGTTCATTAGGGCGTGTCAGACAATGCAAAACTGAAAAATAAAAAAGCAGTTCAGAAAATCCCTCAGAGGTGCATGTCATGGGCTGTGCCCTGCTATTGAGGACAGAGCGAGGCTTACTCAGATGCTTGAAGCTCCAGCTGCAGCCGAGCACGAAGCAGCCGGCGAAGAGCAAGGTGAGGCCACCAACTCCGCTCCTCACCGTGGTGCGGCACCGGATCCAGCCTGTTGGCAGAGAAGCAGGGTTCACGTGAGAGGGCAGGCACCAGGCCCTTGCCCACAAGGGACTCAAGGCACCCGGTCAGCTCAGGCAAAGGAATCGCTAGGCGAGGAGTTTACGTACTACTGTACTATATAGATGTGCTTTAAACAAATGAAAAGGCAAAACCTAGAAGACCTTAATTTTAATCAATTTCAATTAGTCACTCTTGTTTTGGGGAATCTGGTTAAGTTTCACGGGGAGGAGATGAATACAAGTGGTCTTGCAGCTGAGCCTTCCTTGCTTGGGGACCGTGAGTGTCCCCAAGAGGTGGGCAGGTACTGAAAAAAGTGAAACCTGTTTGATAAAGCAGTGCTTTAATTGCGTCAGACTCCAGGATGAAGAAAGGCGAGGAGGAAGATGGGAAGCTCGCAAGGCCATCCTTTTCTCGTTCTTGAGCCGGGCTGTGACAGCCATAGCTGAAGGAAGAGAAAGTCTGGAACCACCAAGAGAGCCTCGCAGGCACGACTCGGGCCTCACCTGAGTGGAGAGCTCCTAGGAGCCTCGTGAGAGAGGAGCTGGCCGGGGCTTCCAAGCTCCTTACTGCCGTCGAGCTTCTTTCCAACCAAGGAACTAGGGTTCCAAACAGAAGTCACTGTGACAGCTCATCTAAATCCGTCCTCTTCCCCAGCGCTCAGTGCCCGAGGTCCCCAGGGCGAGGCTGCGGGAGAAGTACATGCTCAGTAGTGGGTGACAGTCTGCCCTGGGCTGCGAACATGTGAGCATTGGCGGCCAAACCACCTAGTTGGCGTCAAGAAAAGGTTCTTCGACAGACTAAGGGGCCCGACGGATCGGGACCTGGATCATCTCTCATCCGATGAATACAGCACCCAGATGATCTCGTCTGCTAAACACCTTCTCAGCCAAGAGCACGGCCTGCTACTGTCATGGTGATTACTTGTTACTAGGGCCGACAGCTAACAGGTTTACTGTATCAGCCCATCACCACCGCTGACCAGCACACGCTTCTTATTTATATTCGATACGAGAATAACTAAAGCAGAACCAGGAAGGCGGGTTTCTGCTATGTACTTACATTTCCCCTGCTCTTGCGGCTTTCCACGTTTAATGACAGGCAGGGAATCTCTACTATTGCTGGTTCTCTGGTCTTGGTTTGGTTCATCAGGATAAAGTGTAAATTAAAACAAATATTTACAACTGGTTTGGCAGGTGTGGTGAAGTTGCTGCAGATGTAAAAATACTATGCAAACGATCATCCATTTATTAAAAATGACAAGAACCATGCTGGCTTCCCAGAAACCACACAAAAGCTATTTCTCTTGCAAGGTGAAGATTCTTTAGAAAACAAAGCATGACAAAACTCATCCAGCTCCGAAAAATGACACAGCTCCAAGAAAGCTGCAATGGCCCCACCTCTCTCCCTGGAGTGTCAGGACCCCAGCGGCTCCCAGGGTCTTCTCCAGCCGGCAGAGCCCGCTAGCTTTGTTCCGGGTCCAGGCACATAACGCGGATGACATCACTTCAGGCCTGCAGCTGGGATATGTAAGCAGCCTGTGGCTGGGAGCACCTAGGCCCAAGCCCGCAAAGGTGCTGTTGGGGCTTTTTTCCATGACTCCCTGCCTACCACCCCGGTGCTCTGGGTTCTGCCCCCCATCCCTGAGGAATGGTCATGAGCCTTGGGCAGCATGAGCCTTACGCACGGCCGACCTCCGCCTCCTATCCCTCAGACACTGCTCTGCACCTGCTAGCACCGACGTCCGCTCTTCAAATCCAGGGACAAGGCTCCCGTTGACACAGACGTCAAAAACCCGCAACCACCATCTATGACTTAACTGTTCCAATCATCCCTCTGGCCTGGCTATAATCCCAGAGGCATGGTTTGACTCACCTCTCATGTCTCAGGCTCTTGGTTACTCACACGCGCTTTCCTTAAACACCCGCTTTAATGGGCTCCTCCAGCCAACAAGGGGACCCAGCCCCGGCCCGTCGGGCTTCTGCTCCAGTTCTGACCCCCACTGCTCCCCGCCTGTCCCCCACAGGCGCCCCTCTCAAACCCCTCGCGTGGACACCCTACTGATGGCAGCCCCGCTTGTGGGTTAGAGAGCAGCCTTTGGCTGTCTCTTGGCCTTTGAAAGCCCAGGGCCCTACAAGGCCTTCCTATTTGACCGTCTCATCAGCCAAGTTTTGCTTTTTGTAGTGACACAAACTGTGTTTTGGCTTTTTCCCCCTAAACCACCTTCTCCCTGCCAGTGCGGGAACAGTCCACTGCTGGGTGCCAGGGGCCTGCATCAGCACCACCATCCAGAAGCTGTTCTCAGACATGGCTCATCTTCAGAGACACAGAGAAAATGCTTGGAAATAGGTTCTGAGGCTTTACTTCAGAATCAGTCTCTGGGCATGACAGCTAGGAATCATGTATGTAAAAAATGACCATGTGAAACCTGTCCAGATTTGGGAACTGAGATCTCTCAAACTTCCTGCCCCGAAGCCAAAGCACCAGAATTCTGCCAAAGGCCCAGCCGGCGCCCCCAGCCCAGCGTTCTCAAGGTGGCTGGTGGACTGCTGAGGGCTCTCAGACCCTGGACCTTGCTGAGTCTCCCGAGATTGAAATCTTGAACTTTTGAAATCCACTTTCTCTCAGGCCAGAAAACAACTCCTCCTAGTAGCTACATCCATGAGCATCTATCTCCCAGAAGTTCCAAAGACGGCTCCTCATGCCGGCGAATCCCACAGGCTCATCTCCCTCACTCCTGATTTACCGAAGCCCAGCTCGGGGGCACCCTCGGACCTCCATACCTAGGTCTCCAAACCCAGCCGCTGTTCTTCCGCCACGAAGAGCATCTCACTCTACCCTGCTTCATCAGGATGAAGGCCCTGGGAGCCTTTCAGTGGGGGCCATCACCTCACCTCAGTCTGCTTGGGTACCTGACATGGGAGGGCTAGCTGCGCACTGGCGCTTCCCCCTGGAGGAAACGGTAAGTGACCACAGCCTGGAGCCCAGCGTCCAGCAGGAGAAATGCTTCCTGGAAATGCCTGGCAGAGACCCACCAAGTGAGCTGTGAGGCTAACTGAACCCTGGGCAAGTTACTCACCCGCTCTGAAACTCAGTTTCCTCGTCTGTAAAAGGGGATAACAGCCATCTCCCAGGACTGGCATAAGATCACTTAAGGTAACTGAGGCAAACGTGCAGGTACCCCAGCACATAGTTACCCCAGTAACTTGTTACCCCACTGGCCCTGCCTTTAAGTACCAAAGGGACGAGCAGCTTCTGAGAGAGGAGGAGGAAGGCTCATCCAAGGTCTCGCCTCACCCACAGTCTGTATGGCCCAAACTCTTCTGCAATGACTGCCTGCAAGTGCAACATCAACCTGCGGCTATCAGGGACAGCCACTGCTGGGTGAGGTTATGAAGCTTTCTGAAAAGCCACGCCCCCTTTTTAATCCCTGTAGAGTCCGTGGCCTCGAAGTCCTTGAGCAAATGACGAATTAAATCTTGACTTTTACTGAGGGGTCACCAGGGTCTCCTCTGGGGCCAGCCTGTTGTCCTGCCTTCAACTCTTGGTGGAGGGGAGGGGAAAATGAACAACCCTTAAAACTGACCACTGGGAGCAGGAAGTCATGTTTTGAGAACAGTGACAAGTGCAGCGCCCTGGAATGCGTAGGTATGAGGAAGAGGATCTTAGCGTTCTGAACCTCATTAACTCAGAAGGCACAGAGCCACCTGGACCAACTTAAACCTGAGCATGCTTACCTTGGGAGAGTCTCTCGCCCTGGGGACTGATGACAAGGAGGGGCTTCTGGGCCAGAGTGCTCCAATGCTGGGGCCTCTCTGGTAGCACCCCAAGGCCGAGATAACCAGAATAGAGCTCTGGAAACCACTCCAGCCCCAGGGCACTCGACAGGCTCTGACCGGGCAAGGGGTTTCTGGAAGCATGGTGCTGGGCTGAACATGCAGACTGCAGCCCCTGGGGGCGCGATGCTGGGGGCCGAGAGCCCAACTTAGCTGTCAGAGAAGCCCACTCCTCACCCTCCATCAATGCCTTCACAGCAGGGACTCGATTCCGGCTGCCGGCTTCTGCTTTCTCTTCCTGGAGAAATTTTACAGCCAGAGAGGTGGAATTCTGGTTACACGACTGGGCTAGAGGGAGGTGCTCAGGGCAAGTTGTGCCCGTTAGCGGGAGCAAGTGTAAACCGGGACCTCTGTCTCGAGGTTTCTTCTTCGTGACTGAATCATGGCTCAGGGAAGCCCAATCCTGCCTTCCTGTCATAGATACACTTTTCTCCACACCTCCTTGGCTCCCGTATGTCTCTGCTTCAAGGTGGAGTGCTTTTCCCTGGTTCTCCCTGCCCTGGCTTTCACCTAAGGGGTTAAGTTTAAAAGCAGCCATCTGTGCTTCTGTGTTCTTTGCCAGAGTCCTGAAGTCTCTGTCAGTAGAGGCTCCTAAGAGGTGATCCTCGGCCTTGGACTCTCTTTCGCTGCCTGACGATGACATGTTTCCTCTTTGAACCCTGTGACTGCAATTCATGGGAGAACTATGGCCATCACCAAGAGGTGTATCCAACAATTTTATGAGAAGGCTCTGTCTTGAGGCGTCCACTCTGTCCAGCCTTAGATCAGCTGAAGTGGCTTGTGCGTCATTAAGGAAGGCTAAAGAATATTTCCTATCGTGATTTGACCGAGAAGGTGCCACTGGGACAGGAGGCAAAGGTGCTTCAATTTCTGAAGGGTTATCTCTACTTTCTCCTGACTGAGGCAAAGCTTTGGCAAGTTCTTTTGTAGAATTGGTGTTTTCTGACGCAGAAAACTGAGCTGTAGTTTCTCCCTGGAAAGGAACCTTTGGTTTAGTAGCCTTTAACATTTTGAGGGAGGGCTTAACTTGACTCTTGACGTCTTCATCAGCCTTTTTATGACTTGCTTTTTCCAAACCAACATCTAGTGCTGAAGAGGACTTGACTGTCCGTTCTGAATTGTTCCCTTTCAGTTCCGGATTTCTTTTCTTACTGTTTGTCCCTAACTCTTTCTCTTTTGCTTTAACTGGGTCTCTGATTGGCGCTTTGATTTTTTTAACACGTGGGCGTGTAGCCGGCTCACACGGATGAATTTCTTGATCAGCAGGCATAGCTGCTCCTAGCATCTTACAGTGCGGCAAGTGGGACTTCAATCGTTTAAATGGCTTCTTACAGTAAGGACACAGTTCCATCCTGGATGGAACAGCACTCTCCTATTCCTGAAAAAGACAAACACAAGGAGATATGAAGCATACAGTCTGTAAATACTCATGCCTTAGTTAGGTGTCATACCTTTTAAATTCATTTGAAATAAGCCAGGCTGAAGGACATCTTAAAACATTTATTTTGATTCATTCTTTTTCTTCTATAGGTACAACAAAACAGACAGAGTTGGATTTTAAGGTCAATGTTCCTCACTCCATTTCTGATTAGTATTTCAAATTTTTTAACATCTTCTAGGAATCAATCATTACAAAAAACGACCAAAGAGGTTCTTCTACATCCCTAATTAGGAGGCGAGCCAGGCAAAAGGACTTAAATCTAGTGAATTAATAGTTAGTGGAAGGAAAAGGTGTCCAAAATGTCAGCCAGAATGAAATATTTGCTATTTAACTTTGTAGCAAGGCAACTGGATAACACATGAGTGTAAAGAAACTGTTATAAAACACATCATTCAAGGGAAGAAAGTTAAAGAATAAAAGACCATAGCTGTATGTATAGAAAATCCACTGGGGTGCAAGAAAGTATTAGAACTTTAGGTTAAGCATGAAAAATGAGAATGCTACTAATGTTTAACACATTAGTAACATGCATGCATATACACAGACACACAGAAGCATAGCTAACGTACATAACACATAAATGGAGGGAACATGGTCCCAAATTTTTTACTCAGTTTGTAGGACAATGGATTAATGGGAAATCTGTTTGACACTTTTGTGAAATTTATGCCACATAAAACATTAAAAAACAAAAACAAACAAAAAAACCCCCTAAACTGGGACCTCCTTGGTGGTCCAATGGTTACAACACTGCACTTCTACTGCAGGGGGCGGCTGGCTTGATCCCTAGTTAGGGAACTAAGATCCCACATGCTGTACGTTGCTGCCAAAGAAATGAAAAATACTTAAACCATATACTTTTGGTGCCTCTGTTATACTCTCCAGTCAGGAAAAGGCAGTATTTCATTCCAAAGCTCAGATGAAAGTTACTTGTTTACATTTCTTATTCAATTAAGCTCCAGAGGGGAGGGAAAAGACAGGCCCTATGCACAGCTGTATTCTCAGAACTGACCACTGGGCCTGGCCCTGGCCAACCCGTTTATCATAGCAACCAACCCACCTTGTCCTACATGAAGTCAGGCAAAATAAAACTGTCTTCTGCCAGTAGACTTTATAGGAATTATTCTTACTTTGCAAGTACCCCTTAGACAATTTAACAAACGTGGACCGTCTGGGCTTCCCAGGAGGCTCAGTGGTAAAGAACCTGCCTGCGAAAGCAGGAGCCGCAAGTTCAATCCCTAGGGAGATCCTCTGGAGAAGGAAATGGCAACCAACTCCAGGATTCTTGTTGGGATAATCCCACCGACAAAGGAGCCTGGTGGGACACAGTCCGTGGGATCGCAAAGAGTCAAAGAGGACTAAGCACACATATATATGGACCATTTATTTACAAAAAGACACAAAACGGAAGTCAGTCCACAGGCCTTGGACTAACGATTTTAGAAGGGGATTGAGACCTCTGTTAGAGGTGTCTGCCTCCATGCTCTCCATCCTCACTTAATCCTCTTGAGATCTTCCCTGTACCCTCCTGCTGTAACATCTCAACATGGGTGCCTTAATGTTACTGAGTCCAAGCTCGTCTGGTTCATCGCACCACAGGCCAGTAAGTCCAGACGAGCTGTTGGTACAAGGACTAGTGACGTTGTTTGGAAAGCCAGCAGACTGAGCAGATGGTGGATTTGTGTACCAAAGAACCATGCTGCCTGAATTATAATTCAGGCCTCTTTAATCCTAAAAGGGGACAGAGGAAAGTCAAACACTTCCTGGTTCCCATCACCCTGCCTAGGGAGTGTGTTCATTTCCTGCGCCTGCAGTCATGCACAGGTGAGCCAGGTCAAGCTGTTTCCTTGGAGCTAAACAGAGGTATTTTAGCTTCATGCCCAAATCCCCTTCCTGGGAGGCAGGAATCCCAGAGATGGACCATTAGGTATAATCTGAGATTATAAATAACATCCCTCTAGGGATTAATTTGCGCTAGAATACAAAGGTCCTTTTCTACTACATTAACTATTTTCTTACCTGAGTTTTTGTAGAAGGATGCTAATTTTGCGCTTCCTTCTCCTGTACCCGCATGCTCCACAACCGCCGTTACCCAGGTGGGCAGGGTGAATTCGAAGTTAAGGTCAGCCTCTGAAAGACACAATTAGGGCAGTCACTCGAGTGAATGAAATGAATGAGAGGAAGAAACTACTGGGGCAAATCCAAAATAACGGGTGACACCAGTAAGGCACTTCTACTTGGGGGTCCCGGAGAGCAGACGTGTGCCCAGCCTCCTGGGCAGCGGGCTGACCTCAGAGTCCTCCCTCCCGCGCCTTCCAGTGGGCTTTTCGGCCCCCTTCTCCCTTGCTTTTCCAGGAGCGCATTCGGGCGACTTCCAGGGAGTGGGTGGGACCATCGAGCAGCTCCGGGGGCCGGCCGGCCGCCCCGCGGCCTCCCCGTCTCGGGCGCCGGAGCCGCCGGGCGCCGAGCCTTCGGCTTCAGAAAGCCCTCCCCTCACTCTCCTCTCGCCTCCACATCCGCGCCCAGGCCCACAGCGGAGGCCACAGACAGCACCGCCGCCTGTGGAAACTCCGCCCGGGCAGCGTCTCACCTCGCGAGACACAAAAAACCCAGGAAGTCCCGCGACGAGCTCCCTCAGCGCAGCCCACGAAACGCGGCCCAACTCCCGGACTAGGCCCTGGGACAAGCCGTCTACACCACTGCCTGATGCTTCTCCGCCTTTTTTCTTAAACTGTGACTTCACAGGGATTTAAATAAAAGACTTGTATCATATGATTATAACACTGTTTAATTTCATTTAAGCCTGGCTGGACTCTTACGCCGGCCCGTCTCGGCTGCAAATAGGCAAAATCCCGGGCCACCCCTAACGAGGTCCTCTTTCCCAGAGGCTCCTGGTCGCTCCTCCCCACCCCCCGAGCCCGCCTCTTCCTGTGGGCGGGGCTACCGGTCGGCGCGGCCGGGCTCGCGCCACTGCGCACTCGCGGGAGGGCGGTACCACGGCGCGGCGACATGGGGGGGCGCGGAGCAGACGCCGGAAGTAGCGGAGGGACGGGTGCCCCCGAGGGGTACTCAGTGCCGGCCGCCTCCGCCAGAGTCGCGGCCAAAGCCAAGGCCCGAGGGGGTGGGCGTGGCGGCCGCCGGAACGCGACGCCCTCCGTTCCCTCTCCTCGCGGAGCGGCGCCGCGTCGCTCGTCTCCATCGGCTGCCATGAGCGAGCGCCTCCGCCCCAGGTGAGTCTGCAGGGCACCCTCTTCCCCTCAGCCCCTCGCCGGGTGTTGTGTCCTGGGGTGCACGGAGCCGAGGGAGGTACGACGCGGTGTCCGACCGAGACTGGGCCTTGCGGGTCTCCGTGTGGGGTGCCTTGCCGTCCGGGCGGGGAGAGGGGAGGGATGCTCGGCTGACTGGGAACCTGGTCCCCAGGGGCGCCGAAGCGGTGACTCCTCAGGGTCCGGGTCGCCCCTCGACCCGATCTTTTCTCCCCCCGCCCCCCGATCTTTCCCTGTTTGGAATGAAGTCCGGTTGGTCCCGGCGGAGAGAAGGGGGCCCCAGAGCTTCCCTGTCCTAAATTTAGGAAGGTGGGGGGTTGGGAGGAATGGCCGATGTTCGAGAGGAGCCTCTCGGGAGCCTGTGAGGGGACGGCGGGGCGGGGAGCCGGTCTCCCGAAGATCGGGAAGAAGGACTGGGCTTAACTCCGCAGGAAGGAAGGGTTAGGTCAGATCGAAGCCCTTGTGCCCTGCTGGGCCGTCGTGGACGCAGAATGGGCGAGGGCCGAAGTGGTGACCTGTGGCTTCCCTCCTCGGCCGTAGCGTGAAGAGCAGGCAGAATTCGAAACAGTTCGGGTGCGGAGCCGTTTGACTCCGAAGGCGGGAGGTAGGGCTGTATTGCGACGCACTTTTCCTCCGAGCCAGGACCCGGGGCTTAACCTAGAGGGTGCTGAGGATTTCTTGATAAGGACTCTGGAGAGTCCGGACCAAGCCGCGATTTTTCTTTTCTTTTTTCTCATTTCTCACCTCTGTGAACAGGTTAGGGAGGAAAAAGTTGGGATTGCACCCCAGAATGGAGAAGTTGGACTATTACTCGGAATTAGAAAAATCCCTCATCGTGGAGTTTGAACTGAAAACTATAGATCACTAAGTCCCTCCCGTCTTTCATTCTTACGATCGGGAAGCAGATTTAGAAAGCTCAGTTGGTTTACCTGGGTCTTTATAGGCCAATACTTTGGCCATCTGATGCAAAGAACCGACTCATTTGAAAAGACCCTTATGGAAAGATTGAAGGAGGGAGGAGCAGGGGACGACAGAGGATGAGATGGCTGGATGACATCACCGACTTGATGGACATGAGTTTGAGTAAACTCCGGGAGTTGGTGATGGACAGGAAGGCCTGGCCGTGCTGCAGTCCTTGGGGTCACAAAGAGTCAGACAGGATTGAGCGACTGAACTGAACTTCTAGCTTCACTGTTCTCTTCATTTTTTTCTTTTTTCCAAAATAGTCTCAGTGAAGCTGAAGTGAATGAGACGGGGATTGCCTTGGTAAATTATGCTGTAGGGTTTTTTTCGTCCCTCTATGTTTTCAGTTATTTCGAATGTAATTGACAGTCTTTCCAGTCTGGCCCTGGAGCATATTAATTCATGGGGTTGAGATTCCGGAAAGCATCTTGGAAGTTCTTTAGGACAATAGCGAAAATCAGGAGTTCTCCAAACTTCTGCATGTTGATTTGGGTCATGTGAGAGGGCCATAAAACCTCTACTTATATATGAAATAAGAGTGGGCTGAATTTGAAGCTAGGGGCCCAGTGTACCAACTTGCTACTGAGATTAGTCACGAGAGCCTCACGTGTAGTAAACCTGATATTACTGCCAGTTTCTTCCTTCCCACACCCAGTTTGTACTTCCAGCCGTCCCTCGGGATGTCTCACATATCTGAAAAAGTCTAAATATTTCTCTGAAAAACATTCCTTTTATTCAGTGCTGTACACAAATACTTGGGATGCGCTTACACTCCTAGCAGATTCCTTTTATCTTGTTCACACAATCTCACATGGTAGCTTCTTTACTGTGAAAGAAGTCACGTGAGTTGGCAGTGCTTTCTCTGCTCCCATGTGTTTTGTAGTACAGTGGATCAGATCCAGCTGTCTTAGCATCTTCAAGTTGGTTCAGATCTATGGCTCTGTTCCCACAATTTTAAGAGGAACGGTTGGTCTATGATGGTGGATTTTCAGACAGGAGGGGTGGGTGTGGGTATGTGCGCCTGTGCTTGCTCAGTTGTGTCCAACTCTTTTCAACCCCATGGACTGTAGCCCGCCAGGCTCCTCTGTCTATGGAAGGATGTCCGGGCAAGAATGTCGGAGTAGGTTGCCATTTCCTTCTCCAGGGGATTTTCTCGACCCAGGGATCAAGCCTGCCCTCTTGCATCTTCTGCATTGGTAGGCGTGTTCTTTACCAGCAAAGCACTGGGGAAGCCCTGTGTGGGAGGGAGGCCCCTACTCCAATTAAAACATCCATTATCTCTTTTATAAATTGAAGGATTTTTTTTTTGGTAGGCTGAAATAGTTCTGTCATTTTTTAAATAAAGTTTGAAAACCACTAGTCTGTGTATTCTAGGATTTCTTCTGTGCTCAGTCTCTAGGAGGGGACAGGAGGGTTGGAGAGAAGTGAAGTGATGAAAAGTGATGTATTCTGCCATCCTGAGAAGTAACATGCTAAACAATAATCTGTAACTAAATGGCTAGGGAGAATGTAATTAGTTATAGGGTGCTGCTCAAATTATAACTTGGCCTATGGCATTAATGTTAAATGTTACAATTTGACTGACTGTGTTGAGCATGAAGCTGTGGTTTTGCAAAATATTCATGATATTGTTGAAAGAAATGCTTCAAGGATGAATTCTGCAAAGAGCTTAGAAAAAGGAGAATGAAGAACAGGTAGGGCTCATTCTTAATCGAGAACCACCCAACAGAGAGAACTCCCAAAAGGCCAGAGAGATCCTTCTGGTAGCTGGAGACATCAGCTGATTATGAGGCAGGGATATTTCATGTGACTTTCTCAGAGTTTAATTGAAATCTTCAAAACCAGCCCATCCTCTTGACCTTCATCCTCTTGTCACTAGAAAGATAATAACCTTATCTCCCATTATAAATGAGGAAATTGGAAAGTTGCAGTCAGGCCCGTGAGTTTGCTAGCAGTGACTCAGCAGCCCCGGCACAATCATCTGTTGGAACGCCGATAAAAGAGGAGTTGGGGGGCCGTCACCGTAATTGGAGGAGTTTCTCTCTGGGCGGCGGCTGGCCATCCACCAGTGTTCTGCGACTTTTGTCATGTCAGGATGAGTGTAGCGATTTCTTGGTTCAACTAGCACATCCATTTAATGATTATTAAAGCCTGATATTTATGTAGTTTTTAGCCTCCAGTACTTCAAGGTAAGATCTAATGCCCTGAGAGGAAGGTAAGGAGCAGGTCTTATTTTGTAAACAACTGAGTCTTAGGATGCTGCAGTCCATGGGGTCACAAAGAGTCAGACACAACTGAACTGAACTGAGGCTTAGACTGGTGTAGCCCCCTGCCGGTTGGCTAGTGCTTCCTTAGAATCACACACCCCATATTGATCATCCAAGCCTAAACTGGGTCCATACTCATTGATTAATAATATTAGATGCGTTAACAAGTAAGAGAGAATTGAGCTCAGGGTGATAAATTTTTGCCAACGTCTAGACCTGATCAAAGCCCCTCTACTCACATAGAATGTGTAACTGTATTGAAGATACTGTGTGTTCAAATTCAGTATTTTCCAGAAAGCTCTTTTACCCTCTAGATAGAGCAACTTGAACCCTGAAGAGTTTTCATTATAACAGCTTATGCTGCTTTGTATAAATCAGCCTCTCTCCAGCTCTGTCCAGTAGAATTTTCTGTAGCTTTTCTGTCCATGGCAAGTGTACTGGAGCGGGTTGCCATTTCCTTCTCCGGGGGTCTTCCCACCCCAGGGGTTGAACCCAAGTCTCCTGCGTCGCAGGCGGGTTCTTCACTGCTGAGCCGCCAGGGCAGCACAGTTCCGTGCAGTTTGACTTAAAAGTGCACCTCTTTTAATTTATTTCTGTTTTCTGACTGGAGTTTAGAAGTCCTAACAGCACTCAGTTCTTGCATAGAAAATAGACAAACTCTGTCTCCATCATACACCCCAGAATGCTTGACTGAGAAACAGGTGTGATTTTTCTTTAAACCTGGACGTTTTAAGCAACTGGTGCTGCAGTGTAATGGTAACAAGCTGGTGAAGTAACTTCTCTTACAATACCAGGTGGTGCAGCCAGTCATCAAGTTAATGTGTCCGAGAGCCGCCTTTGCAGTGATTGTGCAGAAAAGTAATTTGATGCATTAGAGGGCAGAGAGCTTTTGTGTTAATGTGATAATTGGGGGGAAATCAGAGATGAAAGAAAATGAAAGAAAATGAAAGAATAGTGGCTACTTCCAACCTCTAATGCTCTTCCTGTGTAGCACAGTTTTTATAAGGATTTTAAGCGTAAACAGGCAAAGGCAGCCACTCCCATCTTAGATGTTGTCCCATGGATGGGAGTAAAATTAGGATAACTTGGAATGGTAATTTCAGGAAATGGAGGACAAGATCACCTTAATTAGGTAGAGTTGGAGAGCTTAGTCATCAATGTCTTCCTGCTCTTGTTTATTCCCAGCAAGCATTTCAAATCATCAGGCTTCTTTTTAGAAGTTAGTTGTGCTAATTTAAGCTCGACCTTCCTCCTGTTATTTTACATTTTTGCTCTTCTAACTTTTTTGCCTGTTGCGGTTATCATATAACAATCTATCTCTTCAGGCAAGAGGGCAAATTAATATGTTTAAATTACAGTTTGAAGTGTGCAGAAGACCAATTTTTTCTTTTTCTCTTTGTGATATAATTCCAGGAAAAGGAGAAGGAATGGCAGTGAAGAAGACCACCATCTCCCGCCACAGACCAAAAGGAGCAGTAGAAATCCTGTCTTTCGCGATTCTTGGGACACAGAGGTAGGACGAGTGGTGGAAAGCACCTGCTGTTTTCATGGGTTGAGCTGTTTTTGGGTAATGAAAATTATTCCCTATTTAAGGGAAAAGTGATCTGACTTGATTTCAGTGTTTCTGACCTTTCTTTTTCCCCTTTCTTCTGAGTCATGGCTGTTTTGAGGATGCTACCCACTTTCTCCACAGCAAAACAGCCTGTGTCTGTATGTAGTAATGTATACATATGCTCAGAATTTGTATGTTACAGGTTTTATGGACCTCTGAAAGCCCATCTTTGAACCCTTCTTGGTATTTCAGAAGCCAACTTCTTTTCTTTTCTTTTTTTTTTTTAATATATGGACCATTTTAAAAGTCTTTGTTGAATCTATTGCCATATTGTTTGTGTTTTGTGATTTGGTTTTTTGGCCTTGAGGCATGTAGGATCTCAGCTCCCAACCAAGGATGGAATCCGCACTCCCTGCATTAGAAGGCAAAACCCCAACCACTGGACGGGGGACGAGCCTCTGAACTGAGGTTTCCTGGGTGCCTCAGTGTCCTTCCTGTTCACTCAAACGCCTGGTCTGCAGTGAGGCAGGGAAGCCGACTGGATGCCGCTATTATTAACAAATGATGCACCTGAAGCTTTGACCCTCAACAGTTGTTGGCCTAAGAGAGAAACTCCTCACTGCAAAGGTCCCTAAGCCCCGGCCTCATCACTTAAAGCAGAATTTCATGCCTCCCAATTCTCACAGAACCAGAATAATTTGTACTTTAGTTCTTGATAGTAGGATTTGATCTATATCTGGTCTTTAGCAGAAATCCAAAGTAACTCCCTCAAGGAGGGAAAAAATCAGTAACTGTCAGGTAGGTAGTCCTCATTCAAGAGCGTCTGCTGCACCCCAGAGCAGACTTGATCCTTCTATGTGGAGACTGAACTTTCTGTAGCTCTTATCCCCCCTTTTAAATCCTCGTATCATTTTTTTTCCCCTTAGAGTAGCAGAAAAGTGTTGAGCTGTTGGTTAACAGGTGGAAGAAAACCAAAGATTAAAGGCTGCCATGAACATCTAAGGATAAGAATTGAGTTTCCATGAGTCTTTTGAGCTAAGACTGTTCATTAAAAGAGTATGTGATGATTGCTTTGATGGTATCAGTGTAAATATCTCTTTACTTGTGCCTGTTTGTCAGTCCTGCTGTATGATGTTTTCCTTTGTTCAGAGGTACAGCAGATCTCTTTATTTATTTATTCATTGTATTGATCTTCTTCCCCCTGGGTCTACAGTTTTAATGCCTGAGAGCAGGAGTATAAATGGTCATTTAGAAAAAAAAACCAAGCATTTCTGATCTCTTATTTTGCATAATACTCCCAGGTATTAGGTTTGGTGGTATTTTGATTGCTGTTGGTAGAGAATGACCTTCACTCCCTTTCTGATACCCATGCATTGGTCTCACAGAAGAAGTTGGTGTATTGTTGTTCAACCTGTGGGTTCATGTGTGTTGTTCTTACTTGTCCAAAGAAATTGAGTGATTAAACCACTCTGTAGTTATTAGTCGGAAGGGTGGACTGGATTACCCCGGTAATAATTAGCAGTCAGTACAGGTACTTTTCACCCGTCATGGTAACCTGGACTTGTTGGTAGGCCCTTGGGTTCCTCACGTTTACTGGCGTCCGGTGCTGGCGAGTAACGTGGCCGGCCGAGCAGACCCCGGGGGTGCTGAAGCGGCAGATGGCAGGGGGTCTTTAAAACAGAGAGTTCAGTCCTGAGGAATTAAATCTACCGCTGGAGTAGGTCATCATGTTTATAGCGTAAAAAGGGCCAGGTTAGGGACATTGGGGTGCTTGTTGGCAATTGTGTACAAAGGGGAATATAATAAGTCATTACTAGTGGATTCTTAATTTTACTAATTTGCATAATAAAGTCTGCTGCTGCTGCTGCTAAGTCGCTTCAGTTGTGTCCGACTCTGTGCGACCCCATTGACGGCAGCCCACCAGGCTCTCCCGTCCCTGGGATTCTCCAGGCAAGAACACTGGAGTGGGTTGCCATTTCCTTCTCCAATGCATGAAAGTGAAAAGTGAAAGTGAAGTTGCTCAGTCGTGTCAGACTCTTCGAGACCCCATGGACTGCAGCCCACCAGGCTCCTCCGTCCATGGGATTTTCCGGGCAAGAGTACTGGAGTGGGTTGCCATTTCCTTCTCCAATAATAAAGTCTTATTGAAAATGGTATCTTTTAATTCTAAGCTAGGGCCAACAAGGTATAATTCTTTGAAACACTTAAGAGAAACCATTTCCTGTGTCTTCTTGAAATACTTAAGTTTAGAATTTTTTTCTTGTAACATGAACAACTTTCATTTGGTTAATTTCCAAAACTCACTGTTTTCTCCTAAATGTAATAATATTGGCAGGTACTGTGAAATAAGACATGAGGTGTTGGAATTATTTTGAACTGTGCCACAAGTTAAGTCATGCTTATCTGTAAAATGGAGATGGTATGGGCCTCTTTTTCCCTCGATTCTAGGAAGCTGAAGAATGTGAGCTGACTTGCCAGATTACTTATGTAAAGTGAAATTTTGAATCTGCTTGTACATTTTCTTCCTGTCACTTTGGTGGGTGTTATGATCTCTACTTTTCAGATGGAAAAATTGGGGCACAGAAAAATAAAGTCACTTGCCCAGAGATACAAAGCTAGCACAGGCAGGTCAGTGAGCCCCAGAGTGCGAGCTGCCCGCAGTGTGTACCGCCTCCCAGCAGACAGAGCAGAAGGCCTGAAGGACTTTGCTAAACATGCCCAGGGCTGCCAGGTCCTGGCCTTCTCTTGCATCACGGGGACAGAGAAGAGTGTCTTTCCCACTTAATGCTCTGAACCTGTGTTAACTCAAAGCAAGTCTAGTAAGGAAATTGGGGTTTGGTGTTCTTTTCGACTCTGATGGTCTTTGCCTTAAAGACGTTGAATATTTACTCCAGTGGCTTAGATTTAATGACTTGGGAGCTTTAGGGTAGTATTTTGAAAATTGAGATATAATTTACAGGTATAGGAATAAAAAAGTTTTTTGAAAGCCATTCTAGATGATTCCTGGTAGTTAAGGTCTAAGACAGTTTCGATTTTGTCTGGTGACTAAGTGAAGTGATTGGTCACTTTGCATCTTCCCGTTGAGTCCTTTACAAAGGTAGCCCCATTCCCTGACCTCACACAGCGACTGGATGGGTAAAAACTAGCTGAATTTAACTGATTTAGGCTGACCTTTTCATAGGCTGGCTGTTTTGGTTTAAATTGTAGCTTTGGTTATAGGAATGATGGCTCTTTATTTTCAACTTGAACATCTTTTTTTACAAATTACACTGGACACTTCTACTGAGTCTGGCCTCTGGTGTGTAGGTAAATGCCTTACAAGTAGTACTGCTATCTGAGTGAATGAAAGCTGTACTGTTTTTAAATACAAAGACTCCAACTTTAAAAAAAACTTTATTTCACTGTGCCACGATTTAGCTGTGGCATTCAGAGTCTTAGTTGTGGTATGTGGGATCTAGTTCTCTGGTCAGGGGTCGAACCAGGGCCCTCTGCATTGGGAGCACAGACTCTTAGCCACTGGACCAGCAGAGAATCCACCCCCCCCCCTTTTTTTTAAATACTTTTAACTCACCAAGATTGAGCTTTTAAAGATCTTTTGGATCACTGTAAAATCATAGCAGGTAGAGAATGAGAAGATGTGGAAATAAAACAGAGGTGGCTTAATTGGAACAGCCTTTGTCTTGTTCTTGTGTTTACTAGAACCGAAAATCTTTGATGTCATAACCCTGAAACCCCAAGGGTATTTTATTAGGAGTGTAGAGGCATGACAAAAATAGCTGAACCAGGGGGGTCTGTGCATGGCTACAATTAGGATCCCATAAGTCCTTTTGTCTTAACTGATAAGAATTAGCAGAATGTTAGATAATTTTTTTTTTTTTGAACAGGGTGAATTTATATGACCCTGGGAATATTTAGCATAGCTTTGTAGGAAGGTATTTTAAGACTTTGTTTTTGCTCATTCTTATCATTAATCTGTCTAGGGTACTGGACAAAACTGTTTTGGCAGACTCCAGGGTGAGGAGTTAAGGTTGTGTACTTAAAACCCTGTAGCAGGGGACTTCCTTGGTGGCTCAGTGGTAAAGAATCCACCTGCCATTGCGGGCGACGCAGGTTCGGTCCCTGACCTGGGAGGATCCCACATGTCACGGAGCAACTGAGCTCATGCACCCCCAGCTCTTGAGCCTGTGCTTGGAGCCCAGGAGCTGCAGCTGCTGAAGCCCACGTGCCCTAGAGCCTGTGCTCTGCGAGAAGAAAAGCCACCGTGATGAGATGCCCTCGCACCGCAACTGGAGAGCAGACCTGTTGCCGCAACCAAGACCCAGTACAGCCAGAAATAAATTTAAATTAATTTAATAAGCTGATGCTGAAGCTGAAACTCCAATACTTTGGCCACCTCATGCGAAGAGCTGACTCATTGGAAAAGACCCTGATGCTGGGAGGGATTGGGGGCAGAAGGAGAAGGGAACGACAGAGGATGAGATGGCTGCATGGCATCACCGACTCAATGGACATGAGTTTGAGTAAACTCCAGGAGTTGGTGATGGACAGGCAGGCCTGGCGTGCTGCGATTCACGGGGTCACAAAGAGTCGGACGCGACTGAGCGACTGAACTGACTGAAGAAACTATTAAAAAAAAAACCCCTGTCGCAAATTAACGCTGAAATTATTAGGTTGGGGCAAAAGTAATCACAGTTTTTGCATTGTTGAAATTTACCATTTGATATTGAAATACAGGGCTTCCTATGTGGTGCAAGTGGTAAAGAACCCACTTGCCAGTGCAGAAGACGTAAGAGACTCCAGGTTCTATCTCTGGGTCAGGAAGACGATCCCCTGGAGGAGGGCATGGCAGCCCACTCCAGTATTCTTGCCTGGAGAATCCCATCAACAGAGGAGCCTGGCAGGCTACAGTCAGTAGGGTCAAAAAGAGTTGGATACAACTGATGTGACTTAGCACACATACACATTGGAAAACATTCTAAATAAATGTGGTTATGTTATACATCATTTTAATGTGCATTTCTCGCTTTTATGTTTTTTATATAACTTACTACTTGCTGTTTGTATTTATTTAGACAATAGAAATGATGTTAGACAAAAAGCAAATTCTAGCAATTTCCTTATTTGAGTTCAAAATGGTTCGTAAAGCAGTGGAGACAACTCTCAACATCAGCAGTGCATTTGGCGCAGGAACTGTAATGAACGTACAGTACAGTGGTGGTTCAAGGAGTTTTGGAAAGGACACGAGAGCCTGAAGATGAGGAGTGCAGTGGCTGGCCGTGGGAAATCGACAGTGGTTAGCTGAGACCATTGTGAAAGCTGATCCTCTTATGGCTACACAGGAAGTTGCCAAAGAACTCAACATTGACCATTCTATGGTCATTTGGCATTTGAAGCAGATTGGAAAGGTGAAAAGGCTCGATAGGTGGGTGTCTCATGAGCTGATTGAAAATGAAAAAAATCGTAGTTTTGAAATGTCATCATCTCTAAACCTGTGCATCAACAGTGAACCATTTCTCAATCGGATTGTGATGTGTGATGAAAGGTGGATTTTATACAACAACTGGCAATGACCATCTTAGTGGTTAGACCAAGAAGAAGCTCCAAAACGCTTTGCAAAGCCAATCTTGCATCAGAAAAAGTGGTGGTTACTGTTGGGTGGTCTGCTGCTGATCTGATCCACTCCAGCTTTCTGAATCCCAGCGAAAACATTATGTCTGAGAAGTATACTCAGTGAATCGATGAGATGCACCAAAAACTGCAACGCATGGCAGCTGGCATTGGTCAACAGAAAAGGCCCAATTCTTCTCCACAATACCTGACCACATGTCATGCAACCAGTGCTTCACAAGTTGAATGAATGGGACTAGGAAGTCTTGCCTCGTGCCATATTCACCTGACCTCTCTCCAACCAACTGCCACTTCTTCGTGTCTTGACAACTTTTTGCAGGGAAAACTCTCCCACAACCAGCAAGAGGCAGAAAATGCTTTCCAGGAGCTAGTCGAATCCCAAAGCAGGATATTTATGCAACAGGAATAAGCAAACTGATTTCTCGTTGGCAAAAATGTGTTGATTGAAATGGTTCCTATTTTGATTAATAAAGATGTGTTTGAGCCTGGTTATACTGGTTTAAAATTCATGGTCCGAAACCATAATTACATTTGCACCGACCCGATAACTTTTTAAAAGGTCCATTCAAAATGGAGGAACACTCCTTTCAAAAGTGTTAGAAGTGTTAGTCATTCAGTTGTGTCCGACTCTTTTTGACCCTCTGGACTGGGGCCCACCAGGCTCCTCTGTGGAATTTCCCAGGCAAGAATGCTCGAGTGCGTTGCCATTTCCTTCTCTGGGGGATCTTTTCAACGCAGGGATCGAACCTGGGTCTCCCACATTGCAGGCAGATTCTTTTATCGTCTGAACCACCAGGGAAGGCTCACTGTTAAGTTCTTGAAATATTTGTGATGCATTGCATCAGCTCCAAGTACGGATAGCTACCCAAGCAGTTTCATCTTGAACCTGACTGTTGCCTTGTTGAGTAATGAGGATACATACATGTTTTTAGGCAGGAACTTCAAACAGATGATGTGGCCCAACTCTGTCATGTAAGGAGTGACCCCTGTATTTTCTTCCCAAGCATATTTAGGAAGTAGTTTTAATTGGCCTACTGAACTCATTTGGAGTCTAATGGGCCCACTGAGAGCTCTCTTAACCCACTGAGAGCTTAGCAGACCTGGAGCTCACTCAAGTCACTGGGCACTTTGGGAGTACAGTTTTAAGTTAGAAGCCCTGGTGTACTTGGCTGGGATCACCTCTTGCATATAATTCTCATTCTGCAGTGGCCTTAGGGTGAACTTCATTCTCACTCCGGGGATGGAGTGTGTAATACAACCAGCAAGATTTTTTTTTTTTTCTTTTCAGGCTCATGTAAATTAAAAGCACCACTGAACTGGGAGATGGATGTGAGGGGAAGCCGGGGCTTGAAGGAAAATAAAATACGATGTTGCTCTGCTTTTCTAATTAAGAGAAAGCATACAACTCTAGGTAATAAATGTACACATGTATTCCGGCTCTCTCTCTATGAAGCAGAGACTCACTAATTAACAGTCCCGCCTGGGGGACTTTCTAAAGGTTATTAGCAGAAAGAGTCTTCAGAGTTATTTTGTTCCTACCACGGGTATAAATGGGCTCTCTTAAACTGAGTTTTCACTGTGGGAAAGTAAAATTCAGGGCAGCCTAGCTGAGCACCAGGCGCTCTTTACCTCTGCTGTATCATTGAAGCCGCGTGAACTAAGAAAACAAGCTTTGGCTTCTCTGTCCCCTGCTCCACCATTTAGATGTATTCTTCTTTCTGCCAGAAACAGTGCGTTTCCCTCTGCCTTCTCTCAGGCTTTTGAGTCCTTTTTTTCTGATACTTCTCCCTTCCCTGCCCTCCACACAGTCTGATCCAGAAAAGCTCCATCAAGTGGGGGAAATGCAATTTTTTTTCTTGTCTCAGGTTTTCGGGTTTTATAAGACAAAACGATTGATTTCTGCATATATCTTAAGGCTTTGCTAGAGACTTAAAATTCAGTTTTACACCTTCAGGGGTAAAAGGAAATAATGGTCTTCCCTTTATCCCATAAAGATCTGTTAGAGTAACTTTGCAGACTTTTTGAACTGGTCCCATAGAAATGCTTTGTTTTGTGATGCGTACATACTGAATATACTTGTGCATTGTTGAAAAAAGTCTCACAGAACCAGTGCCCTTATCGTGTTGCACTGTTTGATATTATGCTGGTTGCTGCTGGCCCATCCGTGGATGGTTACATATTCCCTGAAGCCCCCGTCCCCCAAGTGCCAAGACGGGTCTGAGAAGGCAGCAGGTAGGAATGAGTGCACCTCTGAAAGAGATATGTTTTGTTTTCACCTTTAATGACAGTATGTATGGAAGGTTTTATGTGTATTAAAATAACTTACAAAATGCATTCACCTGGATTCCCAGGTTCTCTGTAGGTTCTTAGTCTAAAAGCATCACCAACCTGCTGTCTGCTAGTGATTGAACTGAAATATGAAATAGTTCAGAGGTTCTTAAGCTGCTACATTAAATGAGACTAACAGCCCTCCTAAAATCTTACTGACAGTATCATTGTGTTTTTTAAGTCTCAGTCTGAGAGCTAGAAAAAACTGAAGACCTTGCTCTCTTGAAGCAGTGCTCTTTATCTTTAGTTCTCTGCATGGCTGCATTTTGTCCTCAAAAGAAGTATTTTTTTGTAGAAGCTGTAGGAAATATTTTTTTAAAGTAGGTCTAAATGCTAAATTTTTTGGCATGTCTGTCCTTCTAGAATATTTTTGGTGTACTTATCTGTATACATAAATACTTTGAAAACCAGCAGACCTACTGTACATTATTCTGTAACCTATAAAAACGATGTTAAAGATCGTTTATGTAAGTCTTCCTCAGTATATGTAAGTCTCCATCATCACTGTTAACCAGCTTCATCATTAATAGTTTCATCGTTATGGATTACAATTCATGTATTACATTTTATATATGTTACTTTGTGGTTTCATCAGTTGTCTCTAATTTTAGACATTTAGGTTGTTTCCATTTTTAGCTAGTATAAACAAGGCCACACTAAGGATTTTAATACATGTCTTTAAAACTCTGAGTTACAGGATACTTAGAACAGCCTAGAAGTTGAAGGTGTTTGTCCCCTCCCTCCCCTTTTTAAGAGCATTTGTACAGCCGTCTTCTCTTTATTTAAAGGCATGTCCATATTTTCTCACAGTAGTGTCACTGTTGCTATTACAAGTATGAAATAAAGATAAAATATAAACTTGACTTACTAGAAACATTCTAGTTTTATCTCGACTTATAGATTCTACCTCTGGCCTTAACTTTCAGACAGTGCTTGTGACGAGAAACGGTAAAGAAGAGCACGGAGGACACAGACTGCTCTTGGTGGTTTCTTCCCTCGTGCGGTGGCCTGCCTGTCACCTGCCCAGCCAGGCCGGGGATGCTGGCGGCAGTTCTAGCTGATTCTACACTGGGTCAGGGGAGACTTTCATGGAACACTGTTTTTCTGTTTGAATTGGCTTTGACTTCTTAGGTCTTCAAGTAAATGTACAGTAATTGCTGCTGCTGCTAACCCTACCATCTGGTCTTATTCAGCCTCTTAAAATGCTTCCATGAGTTTGTTTTTGTAGAAAGATGGGATACGTTGTCTCCTACTGCCTCTGGGCGATGGGCTCCATGACCTGTTAGTATAAGTCCCTGCAAATGATTTGTGGACCGTGATATTTCTTGGTTTAAGAATGGACATTCATGAAACATGGCTTTCTTTGCCATTTCAGTTTATATATATATTGTTAGGTGTAATTTTTTTATCAGAAAGTGAATAGAACTAGCTTTTTAAAAATCACATTTAAATTATCTGGAAGCATGTATGTGTTTATTTTTATAATGAAAACACACTGCAAAAAGTTGTAGGAAAGGGTAGAAAAAAATCTCCCAACTATAATTCCTCCATCTAACATAATTATTGTGATCTGTTTCTTTCTGGTCTTTTTCCTAATCTGTAGATTTCACACGATGGAAGGCAGGCATTTCAAAACCAATGTTTTTGTCTAAGGGAATATAAATTTTGATGTGTCCCCCCCAAGAAAATTCTACACAAGAGCATTGACCTCCAGAATTGTTTCTCCTCATGCATTGATTCTTTCCAGCACAATGTCGTGTTGAGATGTAAGTGGAAAAGGGCACTGCTGACCGAGTTATTGGAGCTTTTGCTTAATTGTGCTTGCTCAGTTGTGTCCTGTGCTGATTCTTTGCGACCCCATGGATTGGAGCCTGCCAGGCCCTTCTGTCCACGGGATTTCCCGGGCAAGAATACTGGAATGGGTTGCCATTTCCTCCTCCAGGAGAGCTTCCTGACCCAGGGATCAAACCCAGGTCTGCTGCATCAGCAGGTGGGTTGTTAACCGTCTGAAGCACCAGGAAAGCCCAGGGTATCTGCAGTTAAACCCCAGTAGAGCTGCTGAGACCGCCGCAGCCTGACGGTGACACGCCTCTCTTTCCTTGTTGCAGTCTTCGAGCAGCGACAGCGGCGGCAGCAGCAGCAGCATCAACAGCCCCGACAGGGCCAGCGGGCCGGAGAGCAGCTTGCACCACCTCGCCGCCGGGTCCAGCCCCCACACCCCGCAGCCCGCGCCCGAGCCGTCTGCGCTGTGCCCAGGCCCCTACTTCCACATCAACCAGACCTTGAAGGAGGCCCACTTCCACAGCCTGCAGCACCGGGGCCGGCCTCCCTCGTGACGTGCCGGCAGACTCTTGCCTTCTGTGAAGGGACAGCGCTGTGCGGATTTGATATTTCAAGTTAACGATGTTTTAAAAAAAATTGCACAAAAAAATGCCTGTTGGCTTTTCAGTCTATATTTGAGATAACAGGTTAACAGGCTGTTGTTTACTTGTGGTTTTGCTGCACTATTGCGATTTCCAAGGGGCTTTGAAGCAGTTTTTTATAGGATTCTTTTAAGGGTGGGTATCAAGGGAACCATAGGAGGACACATCATCTGTGTGTTGAACCTATAGTTTGTCCAGTTTAGACTGCTTTCCAGGTCTGTCAGTTAGAAATTCTACTTTATGTAAAAAGGCCTTTTAAAACGGCAGGATCTTCAATTTTTTAAATAAACTAGTAAAGAGGATCTACTTTCCATGAAAAAAAAAAAAGATTTTTTTTCCAGAACATAGAAAGCTGGACCAGCCTTGCACTGAAGTGAACTGCCATGCTACCTCTTAGAACGTGGACGTCCTGTTGAACGTGCTGTCTTCTCTGACGGGGACAGTCAGACCCCGGATAGACTGTGTGAGTGAGTCAGCTCCCGCCCTGTAACTGTCTTCTCTCTGCTATATATTTGTATTTCCAGAGAGAAGGGCTCTCTGATTCATGGACCCCGGATAGCTGTAACTGTCATTCCTCCAGAGCTGCCGTCTGACTTAGGAAACACTGCTCGGCTCGGACAGTCACGGAACATGGAGGTGACTTCCGGCCTCAGGCACCACCCGTCCCACAGCAGCTGGTGTGAGCTCCCCGGCTGGCTCCGCCTCGCCGAGTGAGAAGGTGCTAGTGAAGGCTGACGCAGTGCAAGCTCTAGCGACTGTGGTCTGAAGTCACACGTGCTGTGAACTCTGGGACAAGGGCTTTCCTTGCTTTTTACGCTCAACGTCATCCCTGTGCCCAGCAGGAATGAGGGGGCTGCGTGCCACCACAGCCCCCGCAGAGACTGGTGTGGCTCAGAAACAAAGGAGCAGAGACGCTTCTAGGAGAAACAACACAGGAGTATTTATTTAGAGAGACGAGAGTCCTCATCACTTGGTCATGCTGGAGAGCCACCCGAGTTTGAACAGCGAGGGTGCGGCCGAGTCTTCCTCATCAGCGACCAGCTGCCTGAACAGGGAGCCGGCCTGCCTGGGGTCGTCTGCTCGGGAGAGCGCCGGGGGCGCCGCCTGCCGCTGTGTGGAGAGGAAAGTGCCTTAGCGTCCACCCGGGCCCCCGGCCGCCCGCCCCCCACTCCGCTCGGGGGTCCACGCGGCGGGCACGCGGCGGGTCTGAGCAGCACGGCTAGCTCCTGGAGGGGACTGCTCAGTCCAGATGGAAAAGGACATGCGGCAGACTGCGGGGCTGTGACAGGACAGCTGACACCGGGACCGAGGATGGAGGAAGGGCAACGTGCGCCTCCTCTCCATGGCGTGTTCCTCTCGGGTGCAGAGCTGAAAGGGCAGTTACTGGAAGGACAAGTGGACAGCTGTGGGGAAAGCTAAGAGCACAGGCCCGGGCTCAGGAGTGGGAGGCTTGCGCACAAACTTTTTTTTTCCCGCCCTACTCCCATCTCCCAAGTTTTAAAACCTGGTGTTGACTGAGGATTTTGGATCTGACTGGGTTTGATGGCAGGGAATATGGAAAGGAGACATTGCGAGTACTTTTATCCAACCAGAGCAAACGAGGACTACACGCTGGAAGGAAGGGAGCCGTATGAGCTCTCAGACACACTTGTACACAACACACTTCAGAGACCCCCGGAGGACTCCCGCAGCTATCCTAGCAGATGGCAGCCTACTGAGACAAAAGATCTATTAATAAGAACAGGTGAAGCTTGAGGAAGCAAACTTCCTACCCCTAAAAGAAACGAGAGACGAAACCATCGCTGAAACAGCAGTTTTTTTTTCCCCAAATAAGTATAGTCGTAGTGCTGGGTTAGCAGTTAACTCTTCTACCCTCTTAATCTTAAACACAAGCTGTAATCTTGGTCCGTCCTGCACATTTTCTACAGCCTTGGCAGCCTGAGATTCATTTCTACCATGAGGCTACTTGATAGTGTCAGTGGGCATCTTTTAAAACCTCTCTTAGCTCAAGCTAGTAACATCGTGTATTTCCTTATTGCGCCGCCATTAAAAGCAGAATTAGTGCATCTTGTCACTCGTTTCTCCATCGGTTATTTGAGGCGGGGCGGAGCGGGTGGCTTGGTGGGAGGCGGGGTGGGGTCCCTGGGGAGGAACTCTGGGTCGGACACTCACCTGGGCTGCGGTCTCCATGCTTCCGCCTGCTGACTTGGCCTTTCGTGTGCTTGTCATGCTCAGTGGAAGAAGCCCAAACCTGCCAGACAAGACGAAGGCGGCTCAGCGGAGAGGCCGGGGAGCTGGGGGCCCAGCAGGGGCCACTTGACGTCCTTACCTGATCTGGCTCGACGCCAGCGGCAGGATGTTGTGGGCTTCTTGGGAGTTGAACGTACTGCTCCTGGGGGTGAACTGGTTCTCCGAACCCGTCACCAGTCCAAAGAGAACCTGTGGGACGAAAGATGGGACACGGTGACGGGCTGTGTGCTGCATGGTACAGTTAAGAGAAAACCTGCTCCTGTCAGTCACCGGTCACTGCTTTGGGGGCATCCTTTGGGGGCATGTTCTCTTGCGTGTGTTAATACTGCAAAATTACATATCCCTGCCTGAAGGTCAGAATCTCAGAGTCAAGTAGCTCTGATCTGCTCCTCTTTCTGAAGCCCCGATAAAACCTTAACAGTCCTTACCTACAACTAAAGGGTCATCCCAGGTTGCTTGGGCTGTGAGGTTTGAGGTTCGATCTAAAACTCTTTCCACCCCTGTAACTCAATTCAGCTGTGTCTCATCTGCCCGCCCCCACCCCCGTTAGGCGCTGGGCAGGCCTGTGCTGTGACCTGAGCCCCTGGCCCTCCGTGCAGAGCGGGCGTGTTCTCCCGGGACTTACGGAGGTCCGCTGCACCAGGCGGTTGAGGTTGCTCTGCAGGTGGGGGGTGAAAACGTCCAGGTCAAATGGGTCGATGAGCGTCTCCAGGTAGTCGGCCACTTTCTCGACTCTTAACAAAAGGATGAAGATGGTCATTCTCCATCTGGGAGAATCTAGGACAGAAACCAAGCCCAGTGTGCTGCAATGCTGGAGAAGTCCTGGAACGGGCGGGTCTGTTCTCCGCAACTGCCACCTCAGCACCCCTTGTCACTGACCACTGTGCTTAAATAATCCTTAGGAGTTTTAACCTGGTAGGATGTCTTCTAAATCAAGTACGGAAATTCCCCATATTGTTTCCAGGGAGGGCACCGGATGCTCAAATTACACCAAACAGTTGGTAGGCGGACTCAGAGAGGGACGAGACCTGACCTACTACACGGCCGTGGAATCAATCCAGCGGGTGGCCATTCTTTATCCTGCTGGTAACATGAACCTGAGTTGTGTTGAGAACACACACAGGGAATGGGCAGGAAGAGGCTGACTCCTGCGGCTTCCCAGAAAGGGGCCGTGCAGGTCAGGGAGAGACGCGCTGGGAGGGTGGGCACGGCTACCTGGAGTCCTGTCTGCAGCGGCCGCTTTTCATCTCCTCACCCTTGGCTGTCAGGACAACACTGAGGTAACGCAGATCGTAGAGCAGCTGCAGTGCCCGATTCTGGGTCACTGGAAAGGCACCTTCTTTCTGCAAATGAATTTCCCATCCCCACCCATTAAGGGAGATGGCCTGTCAGGTGAGAATAAACAGCTTTGTGTTTTGTCTGCGTTTCAGCTGGTTATTTCGGAAGTCTTTTATACTCAGAAGGCCAGTTTCATCTCGTGACAACAACAAAAACAAGTTATAGTAGATACTTGGTCTTGAACAAAATTAAAAACCTCGAATGGCAGGGAGGAGAGCCAGTCCTTAGAAAAAGGTTTCAGGTGCTGTAGACAGTCATTTTAAAGGATAAAAGCTCCTGGCATGAAGAGGGAGGCCTTTTGAGGACGCTCAGGAGAGAAGACTTATCTGAACTCTTTCCCAAGTCAGGAGCTGGTCCATCTCAGAAACACGGTTGATGAGATGGGAGTAAGCACCAGAATCGGGGAGCTCACAGCAGGCAACGGGAGGAGGGCTGGGCGATGGCGCTCCCTGACCCAGCGGGCGCTGCTGCTCTTGCCCACCCCCCCACCTCCGCTCCCCAGCGCCCCATCTACATGCCCACACTGTGTCCTGCGCAAACCGGTTAATGATCTGCCCAGAGCCCGCGCTGACCACGTGACGCAGCTGGGCTTGGACAGCAGGTCTCTCTACTTTGAACCTTTCATCCCTGCTGCTTGATGGAACCTGCTTGGCCCTGGGAGTGGGTGTGATTCAACTCCCGGAGGCGGAAGCCACTGTCCATTAGACTGCCCAGGGCAAGTAGACCTTAACACCTGGAATCCTGGATGAGGGCTGCCCAAACCCAAGAGAAACCTTTGTTTTTTTTTTAAACCTACAGTTTTTATTTCTGTTCTTAATGGGGAGAAATTCACAGGCTTACCTTCACCTGTTTTTCTTCTGAGAGTTTCTCATAGGCGGCAACTACTTGAAGCAGGCAGCTTCTCAGCATCTCCTGCAGTGTAACCTTTGGCAAGGCATGGCCTCCAACCCGGTTAACTTCCTGGCACAAGCTGAACAGGAAGGACTGCACGTACCAGGACGGCTAGAAGGACAAAGGCATGTTGAGTTGCCAACTTGCACCGGCTAGACAAGATGCACAGAGTGGGCTCAAGAAGCCTAACAAGGCTTCCACTCTGGGACTCTGAGCTGGCCAGTCCGCCCCCTCAGAGCAGACCAGTGGACAGATAGGAGTGATGTCTGCCCCAGTCCCCTGGGGGCCTGGGCTCGACCTGGCACACGGCTTTCCACTGCTGCGTCCACTGCAGGGTAAGCTGTTCTCTAACTAGCACAGCCTGTGCCACGACAGGAAAGAAGCATGAATGGGCTTCGCAAACCGTCTATGTGCTTGGCCGTCCGCCCACTTTG